TCCAGCTATCTCCAGCACTCTCCAGCTATTTCCAGCTATCTCCAGTTATCTCCAGACTATCTCCAGCGATCTCCAGCTATCTCCAGCTATCTCCAGCATCCTCCAGCGATCTCCAGAATTCTCCAGCTATCTCCAGCTATCTCCAGCGATCTCCAGCATTCTCCAGCTATCTCCAGCTATCTCCAGCATTCTCCAGCGATCTCCAGAATTCTCCAGCTATCTCCAGCTATCTCCAGCGATCTCCAGCATTCTCCAGCTATCTCCAGCTATCTCCAGCATCCTCCAGCGATCTCCAGCATTCACCAGCTCGTCAAAATTTTCCCAGCCTAATTTGTTCACTCGTCAAACTTTAGGATTGCATCAATTTCAAACCAACTTGTACAACGATCAACGGCGTTTTATATTCTCTCATCTCGGGTGGTGTTTTCTTGAGGATACAGTAGATGGCAAAGAAATCTTTTCTCCAGCATTCTCCAGCGATCTCCAGCATTCTCCAGCTCGTCAAAATATGGCGCCTATTAAGTGTTGAATAGTTAACACATGAAGCAAACCACAGCTGATGTCACTCCAGCTGATTCTCCTCCATTTCTATCACTCCCAATTCTCCTGATTGATTTCAAGAAACTTTCCTTTCTCTTTTTTCGAAACTTTCTCTTTTCTTTCTAAATATCGATATGGAATGGGAGAAACGTGCGAAAGACGGCTGAATCCTTCTCGCCTTATTCTTTTCTATTCCTTTCCCCTTCACATACCACCGGAAAGCTTGCGAATTTATGGGAATTTTTGTGCCCATTTTCGTAATATTTTCCTCCGTAATGCCACCATCGTCTTATGACTTTTTTTGCTTTATTTCTAAGATATTTGAGAATGGGAATTGAGGGGTGATGGTGGAGATGAAAAAGAGTTATTTCTTTCTTACAAAGATTTCTTGTTTCTTGTTAGAAACAAGAAATCTTTGTAAGAATTATTCTTCTATTTCTTGTTTGAAAGCTGAATCGGAGCTTTCCTGTGCTCGGTCAGTAAAATCAAACATTTGAATTTTCAGACAAGATTTAGATTCAAGAGATTTCCAAAATTTTTTGGATTGTTTGGTTTTCTTTTTGGATTGTTTGATTTTCTTTTTAGGAGTAAATTAGAAAGAAATCCCACAAAAGTCTCATTGTTCAAAGTGTTGCGATTCCCTTGTTCTTGTTCTTGTTTAAAATCTGAATCGGAGCTTTCCTGTGCTCGGTCAGTAAAATCAAACATTTGAATTCTCAGACAAGATTTAGATCAAGATTTAGATCAAGATTTAGATTCAAGAGATTGCCAAAATTTGTTTGGATTGTTTGGTTTTCTTTTTAGAAAACCAAACAATCCAAAAAATTAGAAAGAAACCCCTTAAAAGTCTGATTGTTCAAAGTGTTGCGATTCCCTTTTTGCTCAATGATTTCCCCAATTCAATTCTTTTTCAATTCTAATTCCAAAAATTGAATTCTTCATTTCTAGGAAACCCCGCAGTTGACATTTTCAGAACTTTGAAAGTACTCAATTTTAAAAATACTTACCTTTGAACATTTCCCGGTAGAATATCTCTTTGGCAAAAGGTTTAAATTATACGGACGGGTTTTTTTTTCAAAACGCCAGCTTCAAACGAATAATCTTCTCCTTTTTTTTTACAAATTAGTGCATTGGCTTAATATCCTTTTTTCTTTGAAAGAAGAAAATTAATTGAAAGTGAATGTTTTAATAGAGGATTAGACTGAAGAGAGAGAAAAAGAGGAAAAGAAAAAAAAGAGGAAAAGAAAAGAAAGTGTTAAATGAGTACACAAAATGGAACTCTCTTTTTTTCGTTTTTTTTCTGCAGATTTTTCATATTGTTCATCTGTCTGAAATTTTCGCAAATTTTATCCCTTTTTAGCTGGATTTTGGGTGGATCTTTTCGATTAAACGATGAAAATTTTCCTTTTGATCTTTGGCGTTCAATTTGAATTGTTCAATTTGATTCGTAGATTCATAAATCAAAGCTATTTTTCCCCCGGAACTAATATGCATATGGAAAATGCATATGGAAAGGTTTTAGAGAGCAATTTTGAGTTTCGATTTTGATTGATTTCATTTGATTTTTGATCGATATTGCACTGTTTCTAATCACAATATTGCACTGTTTCTAAGCATGATATTGCACTGTTTCTAAGCATGATATTGCAATGTTTCTAAGCATGATATTTCACTGTTTTTAAGCACGATATTACACTGTTTCTAAGCACGATATTGTAATGTTTCTAAGCACGATATTGTAATGTTTCTAAGCATGATATTGCACTGTTTCGAAGCATGATATTGTAATGTTTCTAAGCATGATATTGCACTGTTTCTAAGCATGATATTTCACTGTTTCTAAGCACGATATTTCACTGTTTTTAAGCACGATATTACACTGTTTCTAAGCACGATATTGCACTGTTTCTAAGCATGATATTGCACTGTTTCGAAGCACGATATTGTAATGTTTTTAAGCACGATATACTGTTTCTAAGCACGATATTGCACTGTTTCCATTCTCACCAAGTTTCCTAAAAAGCGCACTCCAAAAAAGCCACTGTAGATTTTAAATTCAAAACTTCAAATACAACTTTTTATTTCAAAAAGCTTTGTTCAAATTTATGGCGATGGCTACTTTGCGCCAATCTTGCCTGAAATGTCCGAGTTTGATTTCTTTTGGCTTTTCTTTTTTTTGCCTTTTGGCTTTTTTAGCAATGACATTTCTTTCTTTTATCTCAAAAAGCAATTAACTCCGATAATTTTTTAAAAGGTTGAAACTTTACAGAAAAAAAACAGTTCTCTTCACTCATTTGATATTGTTCCACATGTTGTTACTGATTTCTGTTGCTCGTAGTGCAGAGTTACCGTATTTCTTCGAGGACCGGGAGGTACACGCGACTCCTGCGGCAGCCTTCTTTCTGCATAAAGCTCATGGTGCTAAGAGCTGGAAAATGGCCAAAAATCTGTTAGCTCAGGTGGTATTTTTGAGTCATTTTCCCGCCCTATAGCACTTCATTGAAAGCTTTTATGCAGAAAAGAAATTTTAAAAAGGGCTGCTACGCAAGAGTACGTGATGATACTCTTTACCCGGTCTTCTATTCGAAGAAATACGGTAATCTAAAAATGATTTCATATTTGATAAAGAACTAAGTTAAAAGAAAAGAAGCAGAAAAAAAATTCCAAGGGATGACGTTGCTTGTAACAATACGTATTCGGAAAAAATTTGCATAAATCAATTTGTTTAACCGAGTTTAACCACCATTTACCGACCATTAATTGACTAAAAAAACAATAGCAAAATTGGAATCTTTCTGAAGTTTGATTAGTGATCAATTATTGGGGTTTTGAATAAGTTTCTTTAGTTCCTTTTCGTTCCTTCGTTCATAAAATAACAAATTCACTAATTAAACTGGTCGTTTTCTGTGTTTATTGATCAATTTCTCATTTCAAACAATTTGGGTCAATTTCAAGCAATTCAAGTCCCTAAGTATGAAAAGAAATGATATTGTAGATTTCTGCTTACCGTAAACACTGTAATAGTACCCCAGCCCCATAATGACGGTGCGTAGTCGCAAGTATTTCATTATTTCATTTTTTTCAAAGCGCCCGTACTTTCAAAAAGTGCGTATGTGGTATCAAAAAATAGCCCTGAATCTCAGCTATTTTTTGATACCTAAACGCATATTGTAGCATAAACCAGTGCCGAGAAAAACTCGTTCAAAGCTAGACTAGCGCTTCAAAACACTCCGCACCGTCATTATGGGGGTGGGGTACTAATTACAGTATTTACGGTATGCAAATTTATTTGGTTAATTCTTTAACCGCGAACAGCATACTCTACTCGGAAATGGAAATAGATTTCTTTCTCATTTCAAGGAGAAACACAAAATTTATCGCGTAAAACAATAATTTCAATTAATCTGACAAAAACAAATGATCTGAAAACAAAAAATAATTGACGACGCGGCGCTCCTATTGACTACCTCTAAATGGCGGCGACGTCAATTGGAATGCGACGTTGCGCAAAAATTAGCACTTAACAAGGAGATAAAATTGACATTGAAAATTTAAAACGGAGATTCAAGTTTAATAATATGAATTAACAATTAAAATTAAAATAACTACCGTATTTTCTCTAATAGTAGTGCACGAAAGCGAGCCGAGTTGATGACTATTTACGGCTTCCAAAGTTTTCCCAGAAGCTCAACGCTCTAATCCCCCACAAGATCTCATCGTGAGCTACATTTTCCGACCCCACATCGATAGGTTCTGATAAGCGGTTCTCGAGATTTCGATCAATTTAGACGATGCTCTGGGTCCACTACTATTAGAGAAAATACGGTAATATGAAAACGTCTCAAAATCACTCTCTAAAGGTCATTCTCTACTCATTCTAGGCAAGGAGTTGGCTGTAGATTTCAACGATGACATTTATCACTAGTTTTTCCACCAAATCGCAACACTGACCACTGTTTTCATCCTTTTCACATTGTTCAATAGTTTGTATTTTATTAGCTCCTATCTGCAAAAGAATAGAGCAAAATTCTTCAACCATTTTTTAAGAAGTTGGCTCTTTTATAAAGAAGTTGGCTCTTTTATAAAGAACAAATTGTTTCAAGGCATAAAAAGTTCTTCGATAAAAGCAATTTAAACCATTTACCTATAATCAAATATAAAAATAAAACCTCCAATTATGGAAATTTCTTAAACTTTTTGCTGAAACTCCCTAATTTTTAACAAACTCTCTCTTAAATTTTGAAGAACTTTGTTGCATCAATGTATCCCATCAATTTGCATCAATTTCTTCATTGATTTCCGATTTCTCACGTTCAAAAATTCGTGCTCAAATTGTGCTCAAATCATTTAATTGTTTACAGAAAATGGATGGACATTTAAATCATTCAAATCATTTAAATAATACAACATACATTGTGACAACGATTATTTTGGAGCCAACCACATCAGAGATTATCGAAATGCTCTATCAATTGACATTCTTTATGATCGGGACACCGTTGAATGTTTGGGCTTTCATGAGGACAAACAGGTACACTTTAAAAGCTTTAAAAGCTGACTCAATGCTAAACGCTTCATCTCAATTGATGGATTAAAAAAATACATTTTTTCATACGAATAAGTACAAACAATACACAAGCACAATCCCTAAGCTCTAAATTTAGGGGAAAAACCATATAAATCGAATAAAGAACCAAAAATCTAGCCAGCGGGATTGAGCCCTTGACCTCCTGACTAAGATACAGAGCTCCATGGGGATTGATTGATTGAAGTTGACCATGGGGATTGATCCAACCGACCTTAAACAAGTGAACTTTTAGGCACATCCGAGCCGGCGGAGTGGAGAGTCGTTTGGTGAGATTGAGTCGGCAGCTTCTCATCGCTCACATCATTGTGCTCTTCGTTTACGGAGTTTGGCGGAGTTATTGGTTCTTCAACATTGTCTGGGTTCAAGGTGAAAATAAAACTAAATATTCTAATAGAAAAGCAGGCTCTTCTATTTTTCAATATCTCTCTAAAGTTCTTTTTCGTGCTAGCCGAAATTTCAAGAGCTTAAAAATAGGTGTTTTTGTTGAATTTTCATTCGGTTTTTGACGTCATTAAGCTTTTTTATTAAGCTTAATGCATCAAGCATTAAGCTTTAATCTATTTAAAACCTATTTAAATTATTTAAAGCCTTTGAAAGTCTTTAAAAAGTTGAGCATTTTGCTATTCAAGAGTTGACAAATCCAAAAAATGAAAAATTTTGGTTAAAAGGGGCTTTTCTATTGGAGAAAGGCCTTGAATTGAAATAAATACAGTATTTGCAAATGAATTTTCAACGGCATTTGCAAATGTAAGCAAATAATTACAGGCGATTTGCTATGCAAAGTGTTCTCTTTTTGTTCGGCTCTTCCATTCCATTTGTGGTCGAATATGGTGGCAGCGATCGCTCTGGATATGCTCTGTTGTATCACGTAAGTTGATTCATTTCCTATTTCATTAAAAGCCTAGACACTCAGCCGCTTTGAACAGAATTCAGTATCATTTGTACATTTGAACACAACCAGATTATCTTAATCTTCTCTGCTCATTGGTTAAACGCTAAGTGTCGCATTTTGTGAAGAGAATATTGCGAATTTAGTTCTTTTTATTCATTCTTAGTCACAGCGTATGTAGGGGAACAAAGTTTTTTTAATCGGAAGAAAAAGTTGAACCCTACAAATCCTTTAATCTTTACAGAAAAAGAAAATAGAAATTCTGTAGTGATTGGAGATCCAATGATGACTATGAAAGCTTAATTTTTGTTGAAAGAGAAAGATTTTAGGTTTAAAGCTGATGAATAAATCATTTAATCATTCAAAAACAAAGAAATCAATCATTCATGTTAAAAATAAGGTCAATCTCAATCTAAGCGAAGAAACTTGACTGAAGAAACCACTGACTAACCACCACAACTGACTAATCAAATTCCCGAATTCCCAAATTTTTCAGAAGCCCATTGAGCAGCTATCGAAATGGTGCAAATCGAGTCTCATGGTTGATCGCGATTGCCTGGATTTTAGCCATTCTTTGCGCTTCGCCGATGCTCCTATTAAGGTGAAAAATTGAGATTTCAGCTATTTCAGCTATTTCAGCTATTTCAATCAAAAATATTACAAAATCGAACAAGTTCTATTTTAGAGGCACTGTGAAAATCTATCCTGACGAGGATGATTCCTATGAGCAATGCTATCCATTGATACAGGTTTGAAAAAGTAAAACAATGGCTAAAAACGTTGGCGTTTTCTTTCAGAAATTCTCCGAAGAAGCTCTTGTCATGTTCAACTTTTTCCATGTAATCACAACGTTTTATGTCCCACTGACCATCGTCGTCATCTGCTATTCGCTTATTGGACTTTCGCTGAAGAAACAGGTGAGTGAAAAGAGTCAAAACAAATTTTAAACTAAACTAAACTGATAGCTAAACTAGTAAACCAAATAAAGTATCAAAAACAGATGTTTTTTTTTCCAGATGAACGAGCGAAAACTTCTCCAAGATGGCGGGGATAAGGGAAGAAATTATCGGCATTCAAACACGAAAGTTCGCTTTCTTCGCGCCTCTTTGGCAATCATTTGCACTTTCTTTTTCACATGGTTACCGTATCAGGTTAGAACTTTACAAAATGCAAATCTTATTAGTTTTTACGCCTAATATCATATTGTGGCGAATTGCCACTGCTCTGCAGTTAGTCAAAATTCAATACACAAGTTAAAATTCAAAGCTGATGGATAAACTACCGTAATCAGCCACTAGACTATATTCAGTTGTCCATTTGGACTACTAAATATCATCTCGAGCTTGTGTACTTAAAAACCCATTATTTAAGCTTTGTTTTGAGTCAGTGATGTGCTCCTTTTTCTATTCATCCCTTTTTTCACACGCAAGTGTTAAAGTAATTGTGATAGTGCCAGGTTGCTCCAGTTTGAGCGAAGTTACCTAGCTTTCTAGAGTAGCTAGCTAGCTAATAAGGGAAAGTTTTGATAAATTGTGCGTTTTTAAGACATCTACCATTAAACCATACCTTGTGAGACACGGTCTCACAAGAAATTATAAAGATCAAAGTATAAATAGATTTCTTACACATATCAAAAATCTCAGATCCTTGCCCTGCTTCGAGTCTTTTGTGGAGAAGGAGACACCGCGTGCACAGCCATCATCAGTAAACTCAATTGGTTACAAGCAATCATCATTGCAAGGTAAAAAAAAAGATAAAAATTACTGTCTTAATCTAAGCTTTAGCACCTGTATCAACCCTTTTTTGTATCAATTTGGATCCGATCGAAAATCCCATTGTTCGGCGAATTGCTCGACTTTCGAAAGCACGGGAACTGTTGTGAATGGAGTGAAAGTCTATCAAAATCCGAATTCAGCGTGTTCTTCTGGAGTGAGAACAGAGCCGAACATTTGCTCGGCAAAGAAGAAAGAAGCCAAATTCATGTATCCAAGTCGAAAGACTTTCTCGATACATTAAGAGCAATCATTTTCCAATCATTCGATAATCATTTGCCTTGTGTTTTTCTTCAAATCTCTCTTCGATCTTGCTTTATACAAGACTGTCAGACTATTTATTTTGAAAGATGTCTAAAAATCTTCTTGTATTCTAGCGTCTAGCGAATTCTAGCGACTCACTTCTAAGGATCTAGCTCAGCGAGAACTCAATGAATCCGCATGAAATTTTTGGAGATGATTTTTGAGTATATCTCCTGTAGCCGAGCCAATTTTCTAACTGATTGGTGCTTCTAGAATACTTATATGGCCTTACAACGTTGAGAGTCACGGTAGACTTGGCGAAAAACCCCATTGAAAGTTCTAAAAGATCATTTTTCTCTAATTTTCGAGTGGGCTTCCTAATCACATTTTGTTAGGAAGCCACAGTTTAATCAAATAGTTTTGTAACGGAGAAAATAAGCCTTGCTTTCATTGTTTCCATTCAAACCATCTTACACATTCAAACATCTTACAAACAAACTCCACAAATCATCTTACAGTTAGTTTTGACCTTCATTATGGTGCTACGAAAAACTCCGGATTCTCTACTCGGCTTCCAAATGGAAATAGATTGCTTTCTCATTTAAACACAAAATTTATCGCGTAAAACAATACTTTCAATTAATCTGACAAAAACAAATGATCTGAAAACGAGAAAGAAACGACGACACGGCGCTCCTATTGACTACAGTGGCGGACAATTAAATAGAACCGATGCTCCATTTGCACAAAGACCACGAATTTGCTATTATTTGCACATCCACTCAAAAAGAAACGGCTTGGAACAAGATACCAGCTGATCGTTGCAAGAAGTTAGTTAAATCAATGAAGCGTAGACTCTTGGAAGTCATTAAAAACAAAGGTTTTGCCACTTCATATTAATTTTTACGATCGGTTCGATTTAAATGTCGTCATTTGTCAAACACACTTTTGTTAATTGTTGAGTTATTAAATAAATACTAAATTATGTTTGGTCAAAAGTGATGCCAAACGAAATCTAAGATAACATAAAAAAAAATAGCTGTTGATGTCTTTTTGAATGGGTGTGAAAATAATGGAAAATTCATGGTCTTTGTGCAAATGGAGCATCGGTTCTATTTAATTGTCCGCCACTGTACCTCTAAATGACGGCGACGTCAATTGGAATGCGACGTTGCGCAAAAAAATAAACACTTAACAAGGAGATAAAATTGACATTTAAAATTCTTTGTAGAATTCTGAAAACGAGAAAGAAACGAAGACGCGGCTCTCAAAAACCTTAAATTGGATTTTTCGCCAAGTGTACCGCGACTCTCAACTTTGTAAGGTCATATAAAGACTCTAGAAGCACCAATCGGTTAGAAAATTGGCTCGACTACAGGAGATATACTCAAAAATCATCTCCAAAAATTTCATGCGGATTCATTGAGTTATCGATGAGTTAGATCCTTAGAAGTGAGCGATGAGCTAGATCCTCAGAAGCTAGATCCTCGCTATATTCGCGATCACTCTGCATAGTTAACTTTTGCACTTTTGCATTCACTTTTGCAATTTTAGTCTCTATTTACACTTCCATGAACATATCTGCCATAAAATAATCATTTTTCCTTTTCTTTTTTAAGTTTCCCGTTTAAATCTCTCATTTCTCACCGGTAACGGGTCATTTCTTGTGCTTTCTTTTCAATGCTATTTTCTAAATGAATAAATTCTTTGGGAAAACGTTTTCATAACTAGACATGATGTAAGAAATTCGCAACTTGCAACAGTTTTTCATCTATGAGCCACCAAGACCCAATCCTTACATCAGCCACAGCAATTTTCATGTCACCACATTAATTTCCACAAAAGTTGACTCAAAAATGACTCAAAAACATGGTTGAAACCTCAAAATAACAATGAAATTCCCATCTTTAGCTAGATTCTCAACTTTTTACATCAAAAGTTTTTCGAATATTCTCCCGCAAACGCGAAAACGATGGATTTTGGTGAGTGTCAAGGAAAAAAAAAAGAGATTTCCCAGTTGATTAGATTGATTTTTGCAATCTTTGCTGGCCTTTCTTTGCTTTTTTGGCTTTCTTTGATTTCAAAACGTTTTCCCAAACGTAAATATCCCCCAAAAGTCATTCTTTTTCTCAGTTTATCGTTATCAGATGGCAAAAAATAGAAAAGATTTCGGTGAAAAAAACAGTGCAAACCAAGCGATTTTTGTTATTGGGATTTGCGTAAAGCTTCGCTTGAGCTGAGTAAAGCTTTGGCTAAGCTTTGAGTATCTATTTAAGATAAAAGGTATTCATAGCCATGTCTTGCAGCTTGTTAAACTATGCAAGGATGAAGATTTCAAAACCAAAATTCAAAGTAAAAATCCTAGTGCAATAGAAGAACCTCGAGCTACAAGAACTCGAGCTACTAGAGCTACTAGAGAACTCGAGCTCGAGCTTTTCGTGTCTTCGCAGAACCTCGTGTCTTCTCAGCCATTTCACTAACAGATTTCTAAATTAAGAGCTTGTCGTTAGAAAAAAAACGTGAGGGAATTTACTATTAAGTTTTTTTTTCTTGAATCCAGGAAATGAAATTGATGATCGATATTGTTTCTCATAGTTTTGGTTTTGAATCGCCCAGACATTCGATCGAGGGGAAAAGCCTTGCAAATCATATACAAAAAAAATGTGAAATATCGCTCAAATATCGAAAAGAATCTATCCCGAAAATTTCCCTATTTTTGATGGATTTGGATATTGAGTTGGCATTAGCCAACTTTGGTTTCCCAACGCAGAACCTCGAGCTACAAGGATATTTTGGAAGAGCTCGAATATTTGACCAGGCGAGTTCACGTTATGTCTGTTGAAAAAAAGAGGATTTGATTTGCGAAAGTGGTTCACAAATCAACATGTCTAAATCAAGTGGCACAGAAAAAGTCTGTGACACGTAAATGATTGATGAGAGGTGGGCTATTAGGCTGTCCAGAAATCTTTTCGTTTCTTTCACACTTCTGTTTATTGGGTTGGGGACTATGACTCGGCGCCAAACTTTAAAGGGACTTTTTGCACACATAAAGCCTTCTTTAAACATACGTTTGGTTTCATCAAAAGGATCCACTATTTCTCTACAAAGTCACTTTTGAGAGATTCCACAAAGCTTTTCTTTCGTGGAGTTTATGGACTCCCAAACACAGCTAGTCAAAATGGCAAAGAGTCCGACTCATCATTTGAACAGTTTCTTTCACATAAACCTTCTTTGGTGTTTATATAAAAAAGATAGAGCACATTCAATTACTTAAGTTGCCAAATTTGCAGGAAGATCCCACCAATGGTTTTTTCTAGATCACAGTTTGTAGTTTTTGTGAAAAAATGGCTTTTTCTTGAGCGGAGGCGCTGTTTGAATTTTCTTTTAAATGTCATTTTGTAGAGAATTAGTTAACCATTCTACTCATATCAAACGCATATTATTTGACGAAGTCGAATAGAAGTTTTAGACATTTTTTTGATTTTCGGCGCCGAGTCATAGTCCCCAACCCAATAAAACCAACAAATCCACCAATTGAACTACGGTTTATTTCATTAGAAAGGTAAATTATTTTTCTGCAAAATAATGTTAAAACGAGTTTAAAATGGCTTATGTCTGGTTTTTTTGAGAATGTGAAGTCGGGTAGTCAATAAGTAGGCTCGATGATTCGATTTAGACACTTTAGCGAAGGAAACCTATCTTCGTGTCAATAGATAAAAGATAGAGCACAAAAAGTTAGGTATGTAGGCAAATTTTCAGAGAAATTCATTGATCCAATTTCTTTGTAGAGATTTTTATAGATTTTACGAAAAACACTCTCGATTTTGCAACGAATCTCGAAAAACACGTTTATTACTCTAGAATTTGCTTGAAAGTGAACCGAAATTGATTTAAAAAGATGGGAAATTGAATAATAAACACTTTTTACTTAAAGGAAACAATAGGTTAATTGGTGAATTTGTTATTTTTAAACGGAAGTATGAAAAGGAACGAAAAGATTTTCTGGACTCGATGTTATTCCAGTTTCCTATTTTTTTTGATTTATTGTTCAAATAAGTGAGCTTTAATTTTTTGATCAATGCAAAGTTTTGCTTGTTGGTCAACTTAAGTAGGTTCCAATTAAACCAAGAAGATTTCATTTCATTGTCAGGCTCATTCCCTTGAAAGTACTCTCTCCGAAATGCCTTCATTATTAACTTATTGTTAGCTCTACTAAATTCTTCTAATCTATTCATAGCTAATCTTCTAATCTATTCACAATCTACCAAATCTATTCATAGTTAGTTAAGGCTACAAGAAAAACCTAGGCTAATCGGCTAACTTGTGTCATTTTTATTTTGTCATGAATAGATTTTTGTATTGAAAATGTTAACTAGCGAAGCGTTGTCGGACTGTAAACTTCTTTTAGCACTAACTACGATATTAAACTAAATCTATTCATTGTTAGTTGAGCTACAAGAAAAACCCAGGCTAAACTACATTGTGCAATAGATGAGAACTCGATGATATGGGGTGAATGTTTGGAAATAGAGAGCTCGCCGACCGGCCCTCCCCCTCTCTTTCATTTCTTTTGATCCTATTAGCTCTTCTTTTGTGGTCTCTTCTTTGTCCATTTTCGCACAATTTCCTTTTTTCTCTATTTCTCCCCACAAACAGTCGTTTTATTCGACTCCACGTGGTCTTCGTTTCTTTTTTTGTGTCCAGAAACTTTTTGCGGTTTCCATGCTGCTCGCAAGCTTTTTCACTTTTACTTTTTGGATTCTTATACAAATTTAAACAAAGTTAACAAGTTTGAGAGTTTTTAAAGCAGATTGTTTTACCTGAATTAGGTGAACCATTCCCAGGCAATTACTTCTTATCACTGCCGCTTTAATCTTTAGAAATTATCTGATTTTGACCTGCTAGATATATTTTTATCAGATTTGATTTAAAAATAACCATAATTTTCCTAAAAACGATTAGTTTTCTCTAACAGATCTCTATCATTCACTGATTTCATTTCAGAGTCAGTTTCATCTCGACTTGACAACAATGGCAAGCGGAAGGTGAGATTTTGTTTTTTTTTGCTTTGCAGATGAACACATTTACTCGTTTCTTGATTCGATTTTTCATTTTTTAGTTTCGAGACCATTTTGGAAGCCGTGGGTAAAACTCCTTTGGTCCGCCTCAACAAAATCCCCAAAGAACATGGAATCAAAGCAAACATTTGTAAGTGCTTTAAGAATTCTTTAGTTCTTTAGTATTCTTTAGTCTTGCGTAAACACTCATGATTCAAAATTGTTTTCTTTTGTATTTCAATATCATTTTTAGATGTGAAATTGGAATATTTGAGTGCTGGTGGGTCGGCTCAGGATCGCTTGGCAAAGAGGCTCATTGAGGTGAGTGAATAGTTTCAACTAGACTTTTAACGGAAACGTCTGTTGATTCTTTTTTGCTGTTGGTGATTTAAGGTTTTTCTCAGCACCAACCCTTCGATTTTGACTATTTTGACTATCATTTGATGCAGAATAAAATTGCGCGTCGAATGATACCAAAATTGTAATATCCATGCAAAGTTGTTAGCTAAAAGCCTAAACCCCGCTCATTATGGCCGCGACTTAACCTTTTGCCTCATAACTTAGCGTGGATATTGCATCTTGAGTTAAGTTTAGTATCATTTGACGCGCAATTTTATTCTGCATCGAATGTTAGTCACAATAGTCAAAATCGAAGGGTTGGTGCTAGAAAAACACGAAAGACTTTGTATTGAAAACAGCAAAAAAGGACCGTTAGATGTTTTCGTTACAAGTCTAGTCTCAACAATGGTTGTAAAATGGATTAAAAACTGGTCTAGTGTTTCAATTAAGTACTTAACTATTTATGTTTCTATTAACTATCTCTTTTTAGTTAGCCGAGTCTCGTGGTTTGATCCAAAAGGACACAACTCTCATCTACAGCGCTTCGCACAATGTCGCTCTCGGAATGGCGCTTGTTTGTGCTGTTAAGGGATATCGGTTCGTTTTAGCATCAAATATTTAAAGATAAGGCTTGAAGCTCTGTACACTACTCGAATATAGAAAAGTAAATCATTTGCTAATTTTAGACTGATCATTGTAACACCTGAGCGAGAGGAAAGGGACATCGACACAATGCTCACCGCTTTAGGAGCTGAGGTAGAGTTTGTTTTTCAGAAATTACCAAATATCTAAAAGTTTGTGGTGGTAGGCTAGTTGCCGCAACTTTTCTTTGCGCAACTGGGTCGTTTGCGCAACTCGCCATAACTTTCTTCTAAGTCGGCCAATCTTTATGATGTTGGTTTCATTTTGTTGCACTTATTGAGATCTACAAAATGAAACCAAAAATCATAAAGATTGGCCGACTTGGAAGAAAGTTATGGCGAGTTGCGCAAATGATCCTGTTGCGCAAAAAAAATTGCGGAAATTAGCCTACCCCAGTTTATGAGCGTTTGATGCAGCCATAATACGCTAAGGAATTTAAATAACCTATTGACACATTGCAATCGAACTGTTTAGGTTCTCCGCGTCAACAACGGATCAGTTTGCTCGAAGGGTTACGCAAAGAGCTTGAATCTTCCGAACAGTTTCCTCTTAAATACGGTCGGTCTACAGATGTTCAATATTTATGGGGGCTTTTGAGTTTGAAGGTTGTTGAGCGATTCCAGAATCGGTTTATGAAATCATTAAGAAAGCACTGAATCACAGAGTTGGACAAACATGATATGCTCACTTACTTTTGCTGTTTACTCAATTTGTTATGCGAAAAACCGATTCATTGGAACTCGATCACTAAATTACACCTGAAGGAGTCAGACTAGTTACATATACAATATTTATGGGGACCGATCAATCATTAGGTTTAAAACTCGTTTTGTACAAATCTAATGTTAAAAAGAAACAAACATATCAAACACATACAGTGGTCAAAAAAGCTTTAAACACCTTTCAAAAAATTAGCAAATTGAGTATCCAAAAATATTGGATTCAGCTCGTTTTTGTTTCATTAGATAAAACAAAGTTAGAAACTTATAATTAACATAAAATATACACTTTACAAAAACTATTTATGTACAAAAAATAAAAAGCTGCAAAAAAGTCTTGATACCTTTTCAAAAGTTATTTATTTCTAACAAGATTCAGTATCGTGTTGGGCCTCCTTTAGCTTTTATAATCTTCTGAAGTCAGTTTGGCATACTTGCGACCAGTTTTTCCGTGGTTCGTTGTAAAATTGAGTTCCAAATAGACTGAACTTTGTCGCAAAGCTTATTTTTTGACGCCAAGCGGAATCCTTGCAATTTCCGTTTGACATGTACCCATAAATGTTCAATAGGGTTACAATCCGGCGAATAGGGTGGTGTTCACAGCAAATTGACATTGTTGAGCCGAAACCATCCAGGCATTCTCACGAAAACTCCAGGTCGGATCTTCAGTTTTCGTCCCGACATTCACTTTTATGTTTTGGATCCACGTCCTGCTGGTATAGCCAGTTTGGACTCATTACTACATTTGCGTAAGGAAGCATATCATTTTGCATCATGTCTCGATATTTAACACTATCCCCGATTCCATCTATGGGCACTAGAGGTCCGACTGAGTTTGAAGAAAAACAGCCCCAACCCTCCTCCATTGAATTTGACGGTCTGTCGAATGTGTTTCAAGTTGTATCGTGTTCCAATGGGTCTCTTGATGGTGTAGTTGCCATTACTGTTGAACAAATTGAACTTAGTTTCATCACCCCGACAAGACACGTTTCCAGTCATTGATCGACCAATGTTGGGAGGTGCGGGCGAATTCCAAACAGAGCCTCCTATGTCTAAGTACCATCAAAGGTTTACGAGCAGGTCGTCGTGAACAACCCGAGCGAGAAATTTCAGTTGATTTCGAATCGTTTGCGAAGTTACATCAATCCCAAGTTCCCTTTTAAGTAACTTTTCCCGTCTGTGGCTGTAAAATCCGGAGCCAAGGCGAAGAAATGGTGAAGTGCCCGGTGTTGTCGAGACGTTGTTTTTGGTTGTCGGCCTTTTTTTGTTCAATCGATGCACATTTCCACACTCTTTCATCCGATTGCAGAGCCTCCATATTTTCATCTTCGAAACGGGTAAATGTTTCTTTAGATGAAATGTTTTGCAACTTTTGGTTTTTTCTCTTTTTAAGGTTTATCAAGAATCGAATAACAAAATGAAACATAAGAACAATAAGCAAAAAATGAATGCTAAATGCAAACAAACTATTCGAATCATAGCAAAATGCAACTAATCAACCAGAATCTTACTTATTCGTGCAGTTTCTGTTATGGTGACATCGACTGTTGCATTGAACGTTGGCTTTTAAAAATAAGAAGAACACGGTTAAAATCGGCCATGGATTCAAAAAGAATGGGAGTGGGACAAATGCGATCTTTTTTTTGCGCACCCGGACATTTGCGCACCTTTTTTCGCGTTTTAAAAAGCTAATACTAACCAATTTCTATTCCAAAGGTTGTTTTTCTAGGTAATTTTAGGGCGTAGAATCGAAATTTTGACATATCAGAGCTTGTGGAAACAAACGGACGGAGTTATACAAAGAGAAAAATCGACAATTTTCTGTAATTTGATCTAGCCGTTTTGTCTTTCAAATTGGTTCCACAAGCTCTGATATGTCAAAATTTGAATTCGACACCCTCAAATTACCTAGAAAAACATTTGGAATAGAAATTGGTTAATATTAGCTTTTTAGAGCTTTTTTAAAACGCGAAAAAAGGTGCGCTAATGGGCTAAGTGCGGAAAAAAAGGTGCGCAAATGTCAGGGTGCGCAAAAAAAGGTCGCATTTGTCCCACTCCCAAAAGAATGACTAAATTGTCTAGACTCCACTTTATTAAATCAATTTGAAAGAGAAAACAGGAAAAACCAAAAATTACAAAGCATTTCATCTAAAGAAACATTTACCCAATTCGCATTTGAGATTTAATTTGCATATGTAAGAGCGTTTTATGTTTCAATCATAATCGACTACAACATATGAACTTGATGTGCTTATTGCTAACATGAAATGTCTATCCGTTGTTAAAACAACTCCATTTAGCTCGAAAAAGAAGCCGCTGCCGAGATCATTGCCTACAATTCGGCTGATGAGATTTTCTCGGCTTTGAATAAGGTAACGGAATAAGTTTCATTGCTAAAACTTAAATTCAAATTTCAGGTTTCAATGGTTGTTGTCCCACATGGTCAAGGAGGTTCATCGATCGCTCAAAAGGCTCCATCTGGAACACGCGTGGTTTCAGTCACAACTCTTCCTGATCACAAAGGAGGAAATGTGAGTTACTATGTGATTAGGCTAGAACTAATTTAAACTAGCTAAACAAAATTACATGAGTGTACAATTTTGTATTCGTTTCAGGGTTTGGAGCGTTACCCTTTCTTGGAGCTTGACGGAAAGCAAGAGAAGAGCGATGTTAGCTCGAAGGTGAGTTAAAAAGACAATTTGTCAAAGAGTAAATAATCGACTTTTGCCATTTAAACCAAAATTTATCTAGGAAGCCTTCTTGATGGCTCGTCGCTTGATCCGTGAAGAAGGAGTGATGACAGGACCGGCTGGAGGAGCTGGAGTGACGGCTGCTCTTCAATTGGCAACGAATTTTACTGAAAACGACAATGTGGTGGTTGTACTTGGAGATGGGATCAGAAATTACATGTAAGTTATAGTGAACAAGGCTTATGAGATTTTGTTTGCAGGAACAAGTTTGTTGATGATCAATGGCTGAAAGAAAGAGGGGTCATTCTAGACAGTGTCAAGCCGACTGTTCATCCGGAAGAGTGAGTATTAACCATGATTATCAAAACATAGGATTATTGCATGTTTAGAAAATACGATCCAGAAGTTGTGAAGAAGTATACACCGACAACGCTCGCCGGTTATTGGTCAAGAGATGTGGATGGGAAATTCACGAACTGCAGCAACAAATTCAAGGCATTTAGGTAGGGAACTTGATTGGATATGATTTCCAGATCTGGTCTAAAACAATTTTACAGAGAAGTCCGTCCAGCAGTTCTTGACAATGTGCTCGAGGCGATCGGCAACACTCCATTGGTAAAACTTCAAAGAATTCCAAAGATGTACGGAGTCAACTGCAACATCTGTAAGTTTAAAACTTAACCAGCAAAAAGAACTGCGCATCTATCAGTCAGGCCCGTAGCCAGGATTTCAGTGTTTTTAGAAGAATCCTCAGAGCTTCGCCCAGGAGCGTCCAATCAATTTACACCCAAAGAAGAAAATTTAGCAAAATCTTCAGGCCGAGGCACAAAAAAGGCTTGACAACCTAACTTTAAGCCCTTCTAGCTCGTTTCACAAGCTTTAAATCAGATTTTTAGCTCACGTGTTGTATGTAAACCGACATGGAGAATTATTTGGCGACGGTTAGAAGTTTCCTGGATAACGGCTAAGGGTCTAAGACCTCAACTTCCCCCGCCCCCTATGGATCTCACAAAAATGGAAATTTTTCCGAGTGAATTTCCTTTTAGAAAAAATTCGTTTCATTGTAGCCATGATGTTGCATGAATATTTTGCTAGATTTTCATCTTTGGGTGTAAATTGATTGGCCGCTTCTGGGCGAAGCTGCCCAAAAACAACAAAATCCTGGCTACGATCCTGCTATCAGCATAAGCCAATTTCATATTCTAGACGCGAAGTGTGAGTACTTCAATGCTGGTGGATCGATCAAGGACAGGATTGCTGTGAGAATGATTGAGGCGAGTTCGCGTTGCATCCCAGTTTGAATCTCATGCTTTTTTTTCAGTTGGCTGAAGAGAACGGGCTTCTGAAACCCGGGATGACAATCATTGAGCCGACCTCTGGAAACACCGGAATTGGACTGTCATTGGCTGCAGCTGTGAAGGGATATAAGTAAGTGTGAATTGCAAATGATAGCTGAGCTGCTGAGTCGATGATTCAACTCAAAACTTTAGATGTATCATTGTGATGCCGGTGAAGATGTCAAAAGAGAAAGCTCTCGCTATGGAGGCTCTTGGAGCAATCATTGGTTTGTAGTACTGTACAATAATAGCAAAATTATTAATAACATTGCAGTTCGTACCCCGAATGAGGCAGCTTTTGACTCTCCCTTGTCTCACATCGGAGTGGCCCTTCGACTCCAAAATGAAATCCCTGGAGCTATCATTCTTGATCAAGTGAGTTTATAAGAAAACCTTTTAGATATAGTAGATCTCTCAACTGTAATTTGCTTTTTAATGCGAATTTTTTAGTACCGAAACATGGGAAATCCCCTCGTTCACTATGAGCAAACAGCCGAAGAGATGATCCATCAAAGCGGTGGAAAGATCGATGCTGTCGTTGTTGGAGCTGGGACTGGCGGTGAGGAAACTAACATTTTTAAATTCTATGTCAGAAGCTCGTTACTCATAAACTCATAAACTTTCAGGATCGGTGACTGGAGTCGGCATGAAGATTAAAGATGCTTTGCCCAACTGTAAAGTGATCGGAACGGATCCAATTGGATCCATCCTCGCCGATCCATCACAAACGTGGACCAAGTTTTATGAGGTTGGATTTGAAACAACAAAATCTAAAGGAATTTTCTTGATTGTCATAAAAACTAGCTTAAAAAAAGACGTTTTCAGGTTGAAGGAGTTGGTTATGATTTCATTCCGGGTACCCTGAAGCGAGATGTTGTTGATACTTGGATCAAGACTGGAGATAAGGTAAATTAAGCTAAAAGAAAGGTTTTGGAATTGTCTGGATCATAAAGTTCATATTATATTAGGATTCATTCGAAGTGGGACGAGCTCTCATTCAAAAGGAGGGACTTCTCTGTGGTGGCAGTTCTGGGGCAAATGTTTGGGCAGCTTTGCAGGTATTTTGGTGCTTAAAATGTATATAAAGCTGCATAGAAAAAGCCTAAAGACAACTATTAACAAGATTAGACAAGATAAACTGGAAGTCTTCAGGTTGCAAAGGACATGCCTGAAGGATCGAATATTGTTGTGGTGTTGCCCGATGGAGTGAGGAACTATTTGTAAGTTGAGAAAGACTTTTAAAAGAATCTTTTCATTTGACAACTTTTAGTCAACTGCGAGTTACTTCAGAGCTTACAAAATTTACTAAACATAAATCTCAGGTCGAAGTTTCTTGATGATGAATGGTTGGCCATCCGTGACCTCATCCCCGACAAGAAGATGTGCTGCTAGAAGTTTCTCTATCTATTTTCAATACTTATCCGTTCGATTCAAAGTGATTCAAATCTCTTAAATGGTTGTGATTCTGAATGTGTCTTCATTCCACAGATTTTCTTGTTTTAAATCAATAAATTTACTGATTCAGGTTTTGACCAGTAAAAAACCAAACGATAACTTTTTCTTTGATTGACAATTGTTGAGTGTCAAATGTATCGCCAATACGAGCAAGATATGGCTGAAATAAGTGGCAAAAACGGAAAAGCCGAAGATTCTTTCGTTTGTTATAATTCAACAAAAGATTAATCTTTTGTTAGATTGCCGTGAGCGTCAACGCCAACCGGGTTTTCTAAAGAAAATTGAAGGAGAATACAAATGATTTTTATGAAAAGGCGACTAAAGTACTTGCGAGAAGCAAGTTCATGAAAAAACAATAACAATTCTACCAAGCAACTTTGAGTTCAATTTCTTTTCTTTTTGAGATCAATAAATTCATTCAGGCTATGATTTTCTACTCGAGATTTTTTTGAAATATGTATCACAATCGAGTGAAAAAGTCGGAGGCAAAGTGAGCGAATCAGCAAAATAAAGTTAGAGATGCATAAAAAGAGAGAGAAAAATTGTCTTTTTTTTTCATTCTTAAATTTAGATTGATTCTAAAAACTAATCAATTATCAATGAATTGAATAGTTTGCAGTGGAAGGCTCTCATTTCCTCCTCCACTAGCACTGGCATTTCCATTAATCGACACAATTGGATCCATTCGACGGGATTTTCTCCGTCTCTTCTGCATGATCAACATATTGTAAAATGGAAGGGAATTTCTGATCTGAAAATTTGAAAATTCGAAATCTTTTTTTTGAAGCCTTCATCCAACCTGTTTCCGAATCTCCGGATTGTACTTGTAATAAATGAAGACTCGAATCGCACTCGATAAAACAAAAAGATTCGTGCCCAAGTCACTCATAAAGAGATATCCAAAAGTGAACTGTTGAGTCTCGTCGTTCTGAAATTCGTTCTGAAATTGGAACCATATTGGAACCATATTGGAGCCATATTGGAACCATATTGGAACCATATTGGAACCGTATTGGAACCATATTGGAACCATATTGGAACCATCTTGGATCCATCTTGGAACCATATTGGAGCCATATTGGAACCATATTGGAACCATATTGGAACCATATTGGAACCATATTGGAACCATATTGGAACCATATTGGAACCGTATCTGAACCATCTTGGAACCATATTGGAACCGTATTGGAACCATATTGGAACCATATTGGAACCGTATTGGAACCATATTGGAACCATATTGGAACCATATTGGAACCATATTGGAACCATCTTGGAACCATATTGGAACCGTATTGGAACCATATTGGAACCATATTGGAACCGATTGGAACCATATTGGAACCATATTGGAACCATATTGGAACCATCTTGGAACCATATTGGAACCATATTGGAAAGTAATTTGATTTAGAACTCACAAAAATAAGACTCGAAAGATGTCGACTCTTGCTAGCAGCTTGCTCAAGACAGAAAAGTAAAAAGTTGAGAGCGTTACAGGCAAGATAACACGAGATGATCACTGTCGTTGTACGAATTGCACATCTAAAAGAGAGAACATTCGCTTATTTGACTTTGACTTTGACATTGCCATTGACATTAACATTAGCTTCAGTAAAGTCCTAGCCTTAAGCTACAATAAACTGAGACCAAAACACAATTCAGGTAAACTGTAGTGCGCCAAAAGTGTAACAATTAGAGTTTTTGAGTACCGACAACAAGTACAAGATGACACAAAAGTTTAGAGCCACGAGGGTCAACAGAAATATTTTTTGAGAAACGGTTTAGAAATTCGAAGCTAGATCGAATTTCGGTCTAGAAAACAGCAAAAACAGAACCTTCCCATCGAATATACAGATCTATTTTCTTTGACACAAAAGTTAAAACTTGAAATCCGATTACAACTCGACAACTTTTTAGAGCTATAAGCTTTGCCTTTCAGCCTCAAACAACTTGAAAATTATGCTAAAGAACCTTCTCATCGAGTATACAGAACTATCTTAAGTGAGTACTTAAGTTAAAACTAGAAATCCGATTACTTTACGATTACGCCAACTCTTTAGAGCTATAAGTTTCGCGTTTCAGCTTCAATCAATCTGTATCTGATCAATCAATCGTTGCTATTCGTCTAGAAAGAGTTTAAAAAATAAAATTCCTTTTGAGTGAATACGTTTAATTACAAATTTCAGAAAATTCAGATAATTTTTGAGAGAAATTGAAGGCAGGCTTTGGATTTGGATTGATCAGGCATTTGGGTTGATTCTGGGAAGATATTTCCAATTACAGGGTGACCAGAAATAACGTTGCGGGATTCGGTCATGGTATGGGCCGGAATCAAAAGGCAAAACTCCTCTCATTTTCATCGATTCTGGGGTAAAAATCAATAAGGATGTGTACCAAAAAAGATGCTTGAGGATGTTTTGCTTCCATGGGCTCAACAGCATTTTGGTAACGGATTTTGGACCTTCCAACAAGGCTCCGCTCCTTCTCATCGAGCCGAATCCACACAGGACTGGTGTAGGACAAAATTTCTGGATTTCATCTCGGCCCAGGAATGGGCTCCGTATTCGTGCGATCTCAATCCGTTGGACTCCAGTGCTTGGCCAATTTTGGAGGCAAGGGCCTGTGCAAAATCCCACAAGAGTTTGGAGGCTCTTAAGCGATCGTTGACCAGGGAATGAGATCGAATCATTCCGGCCGAGCTGCGGCCCATCGCCGAAAACTTCATCAAACGTTTGAGGCTCTGCATCAGAGCCAACGGTGGCCACTTTGAAGAAAAGTAGATTTTATGCTCTCTTTATATCATGTTGTTAATAAAAAATTGTTTCTGTTACAAAATCTTTTTGGATTTTTAAAAAAATAGGCTAAATTAGGCCGCAACTTTATTTCTGGTCACCCTGTAAAGACTTGATCTTTGCCAAAACCTTAAATTTAACATAAACTTGCTCTAATTACAAACTTTTATAAGAATATTCAGCGTTGGATAGTTTTTTGTTCTTAAAAGCTTGATGACCGGAAAACAAGGTGGCTTCGAACTTTTGTGCAACCCTGTATTCTCCTGTAGTTAGAGATTAAAGTGAGACATTGTAGACGTTGTACATTGTAGATATTGTAGTTAGACATTATCGACATTATAGTTAAACATTAGCACCCTCAAATTGTCGACTCTTCTAATTGTTCACTCAAATTGTCGACTTTTCTACAGTCACCTTATCTTTTCTTCTCTTCAAATCCTCACCTCACTCTTTTTTGTTCTCTCTTTGTTTCATCATCCAATTTTCTCATCGATTGACTTTTCGGAAGCTGAAAATCTTTTGTAAATGATTCCTATTTTTGTTTTCATCAAGTTTCCAAAGTCGACAATATTTTCTCGAGTCACAAAAAGCAAAGGGGAGCAAAAAATGACAGCCAATATTTATGCATAGGATCCGGTGATGAATTGAATTCAAAGATTCACATTTCCTTGTGTGTTTTTTTCAAGACAACGGAGTACGAATAAGCGATTGGCCAAACAGAAAGCGCTTTGGTCTATTTTAAAGAAAAAAACTCTCTTATCCGAGCACCTTTATGAAGAATGAGATCGGAATTCGAAGGATCTAGAATTTACGATCATCCGCAGCGCTTTGTGCGATAAATTTTGGAGAGATCTGTGACTGGTAGTGGACGGGCGGTTTTTAGATCCGCAAAACGCAAAAGATTGATTCTTTTGCTAGATTTTATCCAGATTATAGTCAGATCAGCCGAAAAATCTGCCTAATAGCGGGTTTTTTGGCTGGCCTCGCCTAATACCGAGTTTTTCAGGCCGCGCGTTGTGGTCACCGCAGTTAGCAGCTCGCTTTTCTACGGCGCACATTTGGTCACCATGGCGCAGTTAGCAGCTCGCTTTTCTACGGCGCACATGTGGCCACCATGGCGCGGTTATCAGCTCGCTTTTCTACGGCGCACATGTGGTCACCATGGCGCAGTTAGCAGCTAGCTTTTCTACGGCGCACATGTGGCCACCATGGCGCAGTTAGCAGGATCAGTTACGCTTTTCTACGGCCCACAGGATCCCGGTTCGACTCCCGGCTGAGTCGTGACTTTTGCTTTTAAAAAAAGGAATATGAGATGCATAACTAGATAGAATTCAAAGCCTAAGAAACTAAAAATGATGTAAATAGGCCCACGGGGAGCTGAAAAGTTGGACGGATGGATGGACGGACAGACAAACAGACAAACAGACAAACAGACGGACGTACAAGCGACAGACAGAAAATGTAAAATGTAAAATGATAGTAAAGTATAGTAAAATGATCATTTGACGAAAAGAATTGCTTGCGAACGAATAGCAAAAGAATGAAGTGATTTTACTTTAAACTTTGACTGACAGTTTTAGAGAAACCTGAATCCCCAAAATGTTTGTTAGCAATGAAACCAATCAGCACTTCTCCACTCACCTTGCAAGTCAGTTCGAGCGTATGTGAAACAGAAGCTGATTGTCTCCGCGCTCTTTGATGACTCTTTTTCAGCTTTTGAACGATCAAAATATTCAAAAGGCATAAGATCAAGAAAGTGACGAAAAGATTTAAGAACTGAAATGGCATTAGAATCGCCAACAATCTTTCAACAACCTGTTGCATAAAGTCCAGTATTCTCCAAGTGTTTGACTCTCCAAATTTTGTTAGCTGAAGAATTTTTGAATAGAAATATTTATCACAGCCTTCCATCGGTTTCACCTGGAATTGAAATTTGGAGGAATTTTGGTACTGTTACCGAGACAGCGAATATCAATGGGCCTCTCATGAAAATGGTGATTGTTGCAATGATGAAACAGATCAGTAAACGCCGTGAGCCTCTAAAGATTTTTGATCGAATCTCTTTTGATTTTTAATCGAATCTCTTTGATTTTTGAACCTTTATTTTACGAATTTCAACGCCTACTCAAATTTCTTCCAATTGAACACCTAGAAATACTTTATTTACTCAAGAATGTAAACACTATTATTCCCAAATTGAACAAAATAATCTAGTTTTTTTCATGCACCTTTTGTTGAACTTATTCTCTTTTTGAAACGAAGAACTCTTGCAACTTTTCTAACGATTTTCAAGAGTCTAAACGTGTAATCCCATAACAAAGTGCCGTCTCATGAATTTTCGAGAAGTGAAGAGAGAAAAGAAAGAGAAAATGATGGAAATGAAGCAGGGAAAAGAAAAAGGAAAGAAAAAGGGTAAGGAAAAGGAAAGGAAAAGGAAAGGAAAAGGAAAAGAAGAGTCCCCATGACCGATGATGAAAAGAACCATGAAAAGCACCTTTTTCTTTGAAAGATCTCAAAAATGATAAACAATGTGAAGAAGATGAAATGAGCAATATGAAAACAAGAAAAAGAGGTATTTGGGTAAGGAGTTTGACTGTTGAAGGAACATTTTGGCACTAAAACAAACTTCGAATGAAAGTTGCTCCTCCCTTTGATTTGTCCAAATCGTTCAGCCGAGATCGCAATCAACACATATGGAATGGCGATTTGGACGAGTCGGCTCAACACAAAAGTGATAGTGTATGTCAATTGAATGCCATCATACAGCCACTTGATCTCCAATACCTGAACAAATGTTTATCTCGTCTAGACACTCTACCAGACTCTACTACTCGTCTACCTCGGCTACTAGACTCTATTACTCGTCTCTCTCGTCTACTAGACTCTACTACTCGTCTATCTCGTTTACTAGACTCTACTACTCGTCTACCTCGTCTACTAGACTCTACTACTCGTCTATCTCGTCTACTAGGCACTCTACTAGACTCTACTAGACTCTACTACTAGAATCGGCTGCAATTCTTAGCTAAGCTAAGAAAAGGGTTGTCTTTGTGCAACTGTGCAACAAATAGATCTCAAATTGGCTTGATCTTTCTGCTAAGTTTTCTTTGAATTCCCAAATTCCGGATGTGGGATTCTTGACTCGAGAGGAGGTGAAAATTCGAGGTCTTCTTGAAAAAAAATGAGAAAAAGAAAGGGAAGTAGATGTGAGTGAAAAAAGGGGACTCTAGAAGGGGCTGTTAATTCGAGGCCTTATGGGTGCTCAAGAAGGAGACGATTGAGTGAGGGGCTCCCCCCATTCCCTTACCCTAAGCTTTTCGATGGGGAATTTCGATGACAACTACTTAGCACCAAGAAAATGTTTCCTTTGGCTCTTGATTTAGAGAAATGGCTCTCGATTTAGAGAAACGGCTCTTGATTTAGAGCAACGGCTCTTGATTTAGAGAAACGGCTCTTGACTTAGAGAAATGGCACTTGATTTAGGTCTTCGTTTGACTGATCCCCCTTACCTGGCTGATCCTCAGAAGCCAGAAGACTTGCACGAAAAGCTCGCACATCGTGAAATCGAGAAAAGCAAGAAAGCACTAGAATGTTTGAGTTGATTCGAAGTTTTGCATGAAAGTATTTGCTGAGAGGGGCTAAAAAAACCCCTAAGTTAACAATAATAGACGAAAACTAACTATTCTAATAAACAAATAGGTTGACCCAACCTGATACATGTATCCCCGTACGCCGAGAAGTGCGCTGAAGAGAAAAAGATTGCACACGCATCCAACCAAGGCTATTAACATACCAAAACTGAAAATTCATTGAGTTTTTAGAGCTTTATAGATAGGGAAACTAATAAAAGGTTCACTTAAACTTGCCCTATCGATTAGTATTAGGTTGGTGAATAGAGGGTGACCAAAATCAAAATCGCCCGTCCTAATAGTCCGTTCTTGGCTCATATTTCTGTTATTTGTAGACCAAAACGATTAATTCTTTTTTTAAATGTAAATTCACATTATTTTCTGTATATGTTCAAGATTTCATGACCATAGCATTGATAGATAATTTTTTATGTACGCTTAAAAATAGCTGATCAAAAAATAGCCGATCGCAACTCAAATTTGGGATTTTTAACCCCATAAAATAATTTTTTCTTTGCAGTTTTTTTCTGAAAGTTAGGTTTTCTTATGTTTAACTAGATTCAATTCAAAAAAAATATTAAATGCGCTAATATTTTCCATAAGATTATCGATAAAAGAACCCCTAAATTTGAGTTGCGACTCGTTATATTTTGATTAGCCATTTTTAGCCATAAAAAATTATCTATAGATGCTATGGTCATGAAATCTTGAATATATACAGAAAACGATGTGAATTTACATTTGAAAAAAGACATTTATCGTTTTGGTCTAGAAATAACAGAAAAATGAGGCTAGAAGAAAAAAAGGACGGGTTATTTCTGATCACCCTCTAGTAAGAAGCGTTGAGAAAAGCTTAAATTGAAAAAAACGTTAACGCGCTCTTTATATAGTGCGATTCACACGTAAAAGATATTCAGCCCAATATTTGCATATGCATCAATTCGTTTAATTGACACACAAGAAAGGACGGGTTATTTCTGCTCACCCTGTAAGTCTTTGCCTTCCTTTTCGTACTTTCATTTAAAACCAACAAATCCACCAATTGAACTACAGTTTATTTCATTAGAAAGTCACTTCTTTTTCTGCAAAATAACGTTAAAACGGGTTTAAAATGTCTTATTTCTGGATTCTTTTGGGAGCGTGAAGTCAAGTAGTCAAAAAGGCGACGGCTCGATGCTGCGGATACTTTAGCTTTAAAAAAGACACACTTTAGCTAAGGAAACCTATCTTTATGTCAATAGATAAAAGATAGAGCATAAAAGGTTTGGTATATAGCCAAATTTTCAGAGAAAATCATAGAGCCAATCTCATCGTAGAGGTTTTTATAGATTTTGACAAGAAACACACTCTCACTCTCGAATTTGAACCGAAATTGACTTCAAAAGTCGGGCAATTGAACAATAAACGCTCTTTTATTTAGAGCAAATCGATTTAGAGCAAATGATAATGATAGCAATTAGAGTTAATTGATGAAATTGTGATTTTTCAAGTATTGAAAAGGAACGAAAAGACTTACTCACCAACTTCATACAAAATACGATACAAGTACCAAGTCATCCGGTGTCTACTGTCAATTTTAGTTGATTTAAAGTTTTCTGAACTTAATACTTTACATTTACAATTTCCTAACGATTGTTCAAGATTTAACAGATCTTTACCGTTTAATGCTTTCCCATTTTTGACTGAATAACTTCCACTTTCGTTGATTAAGGAACCGGAATAAATTGTTGTTTCCAAGCTTTTTTCCTCGATTCTTTTCCCTTGTCTTTATCCAATTAGAGCTTTTTCTAGTTCCATTGGACTTTCATTTTTGTTTTGTTTTTTTTTTTTTGAACTTTCAGGAGGAACATTTTTATCAACCAAAAAAAGTTGATGAAGACGGGGTGGACTTCTTCTTTTCTCGACCATCACGAAGAATAGCCATGCTTTTTTTTCTTTAAAACACAAGGAATAGCTCACTTCTTCTATTCAAAAGGAAGAAGTTTTATGAAAAAAAAAGAAGGAAACGTTTTTTTCGCACTCAAAAAACTGAAGGGAAGGGCTTAGGCTTAGGAAATTTTGACTCCTCCAATTCCTCATCTTTAATCCAAGTTATTGAATTTTTGAAATAGAATTTTGAAAGCTTTAACTCGAGATTTAATTATTGCTTGAAGATTTATCTAATAAAGACTTTATAAGCTGCTATTTTCAAACAAAAATAGAAACATTTTGTTCATAGAAAGAATAGAGAGATTTTCGAGAAAACCCATAATTTGAACGGTTGTTCTTTTGTAAAAAGTTGAAGTTGATCTTAAATCGCAGTTTGGAAAAGAATTTTAGAAATCGGATAAAGATCTATAACCGTAAATACTGGAATAGTACCTCACCCCTCTCGTACAGTCGCGTAGTCGCAAGTCTTTCATTATTTCATTTTTTTCAAAGCGCCCGTACTTTCAAAAAATGCGTCTTTGGTATCAAAAAATAGCCCTGAATTTCAGCTATTTTTTGATACCTAAGCGCGTATTGTAGCATAAACCAGTGTCGAGAAAAACTCGTTCAAAGCTAGACTACGCAACACTCCGCACCGTCATTATGGGGGTGGGGTACTATTACAGTATTTACGGTAGGTTTTCTTTTTTTTTTGATAAATAAACATTTACCTAATCATGAACAGGCGAAAATTCGGATTCGCCTCTTCATCACAAAATCCAAGACTCTCATTTCCTTTAACACCACCAGAATCATCATAACCTGTCTCATTTGTTGGGAATTCCATCTGAAAAAATGAAATTGAATTGAAAAAATGAATTTACAGATTCTCAAGCTCAAAATGGAATCATTGACGGAAGTCTTTGTCTGTGGAAAAAATGAAATTTGATATCACGAAAAAGACCAAAGAATCGAGGCTTGAGTCATTGAAGTGTTTCGAATTGCAACTCTTGATAGTAAATGTGATAGTAATAGTAAATGATGATAGTAAATGTGATAGTAAATGTAAAGTGAGTAAACGATAGAAAACAATAGAGAAAACGATAGAAATTTCTTTAAAAACTTCCAGAGAAAGTCTAAAATTGGGAATTTTATGAGTGATTGGATGGAAACCAATTTCGCGGGTTTTCCCCTCAAAAAAACCTCAATATCAACACACGGCTTTGAGCGATTCGGGCAAAATTAGAGACCGACGAATAAAGTAATTTTGAGAATTTCGTCAATGTCAACAAATTTTCTTTGGATCTGAAAAGAATGAAAACAATTTGAAGTGTCTTGTAATACTGATTTCAATAAAAAATAGATTCTTCTATTATTGTTACATCTCAGGAAAGTATTAGGTTGAGCACCAATAAGAGACGATCAACTGGCTGAGCTGATCTATGCAACCTATACCTCTCAACACAGATTTTTAGGCTGATTCCGAATATATATTCGATTTTTGGCAAATGACAATCTGCCAGGGGTTATAAGGGTCTAAAGTCTTGTAGCCTTAGCGGCCTCCTTTCGGATGCAATTCCTTGCAGCCTTGGCCGAGTGGTGAAGCGTTCGTTTCCAGAGCAAGGCCTCACAAAAAGCAAGGCCAGCAAGGCCTCCGAACCCCACTTTGAATTCGTCTTTTACTTTTTTTTCAAGAAGTACTGACTAGTGCTCTTTGTACGAACATATTTCTTGTTGTCATACTTTTATCGAACTAAAGCGAGGATAGAACTTTTGAGGTCCCGCTGTTCAATTCAAAAATGAATTTGAGTACAAGACTTACTACTGCAAGACTTACTACTGCTAGACTTACTACTCAATAGCCTTACTACCTAATATTATTCTATATAAAAAGCTAAAGTAAGAATATATAACAAAAGATATGGAATCTTTTTCTGAAATCCCTCGCTGCCTGAAAGAAACCCCTTGAGCGTCATAAAATCCCAGCCGTTCGCCGTTCTTTTTCGAGAAGAAAAGGAAATGAGAAATACGGATTACGGAATTTAAAGAAATACTTTAGTTTATCATTGATACAAAGGCTTAATGCTATAGCTTTATAGCAATGAAAGCAGCTTTATAGAAGCTTTTATAGCTTTATAGCAGCTTTTAGCGAAACTTCAGATCATCTAAAAGAACAAAGGTCAAAACTAGACCATTCCAAACGATCCTACCAAACGATACAAAGTCTTAATGCTATAGCTTTATAGCAATGAAACTTTAGCGGAACGTTAGCAGAACTTTAGCGAAACTTCAGAGAATCTAAAAGAACAAAGGTCAAAACTAGACCATTCCAAACGATCCTAGCCTCTAAGAACTAAGATCTAAGAACAGAAACTCACAGAAAGTTAATGAAGCAATCAAAAAACAAACATCGAAATTCATTTGCGAGTTCTGTATTAGGCAAAGCTTTTGTCTTCTCTTGTTTGAGTGGGTTTTCGGGCGAAGGGAGGGGTGATTGAAATGAGGGCGGTGCTCGAGAAGGGGAGGAGAGCCCGAAGGAGGCCTTCCATGTGTGCCAAAGGGGGTTTCGAAAAAAAAACCCGTCTCCCAAATGATGTCCTTTTGCTGTGTGTGAGCTTGGAATCTTCCTGGGACTCCCGTGAAAACTTGCGCTCTTTTTGGAAATAATTACGCCCTCGAGCAATGCTTTTTTTGTGTTTTCGAGATTTGGGGAGAGCCGAAGAGCTGATTTAGAGACTCAAGGAATTGAGAAAATCTTTTCAATGAAGGCTATGAATAATTCAATTTACGGAATTAACTATTGAGAACGGATAAATAAGATAAAGCGCAAGAAATAGTAAATACCGTATTCTCTCTAATAGTAGTGCGCACTACTATTTTTTCAACCCCCTCCTGGACCGCAATACTATTAGAGAGTGCACTACTATTAGAGAGAATACGGTAACCAATCTCAATCAATCCAAAAAGTGAACGTGAAACTTTCAAACACCCAAAAAACCGAAAGGACCTTCCTCTCAAATTCTTTAGTTTTTTTTTTTGTGAATGTGGGTGTCGGAGAATAATTGCATTTGGGTTAAGTGCCGATAGGGCCTTCGTCGTTTTTTGTTCTCTTCAATGAACGAATGAGGGCTTCATCTTTTCGAATTTCGGGGATTCGAAAGGAAAAAGAGAACAGGTGTCTGCCTCAAAATTTCGACGCTCGTAAAATCTAATTGCAAGAGTCAAACTTTGAACTTTGAAGTCAAATACGAATTGCGAGAAAGCTTACGCAATGCTTGGTATAAAACATAAACAAATGAAACAAATTGCGAGTTGTTTATGTCTAAAAAAGTCTAGCTTCTCGCAACTTCTTTAGACTAGGAAGTGGGGAAGTGGGGGAAGGAATGGGGTGGGTTTATGAGCTATGAACTTTAGAGTAGGAAATATGGTTATTATTGGGTTGGTCAATTGAAAACTGCGGGACTTTGAACTAACATCTATTCAACATAAAACTATGAATTCATTCCAAATAATTTCCATTATTATTTTAGTTAGTAGTTTCCCATTTTACAGGCAATTTGCGGATTCCTCTTTCGTAGTAGGATTTTGGTTTGTGTGCGAGACAAGTGTGAGACTCAAAAATGGAGGACTGGAGATGTCCCAGTTTGAGCACTTTCTTCAAAAGAAACCCATTTTGGTGTCAATAGAAAAGTTGTAGAGAATGAAAAATTAGACTTATAGACAAATTTCCAAAAAGATACACTTAGTAGTTTCGCTTAAAATGCAAGTTTTGTTGCAAGTTTTGTGAAAATTCGTAAATTTGGCATTTCTTGAAAACCAGTTTTTGAATCGTTCTGAAAATTTGGATAGTAGCTTTATTTTTGATTCTCTACAACTTTTCCATTGACACCAAAATGGGTTTCTTTTGAAGAAAGTGCTCAAACTGTGAAATATGACAATTCACCAACCCAATAGATATCCAGTTAGAAATATCAAGAATGGTACAAAATCTAAATCAGCCGTTAGCACTTCAGATCTGGCTCAATCGGTGGACAAAACCAGGGAGCAGGAAACGAAGATCGAAGTGACACCTGGAGTCTTGACGCTGTTGCAAGTGACAGTGAAGCTGATGGAGCTAGGGAAAGAGATCGAGAGGTCGATCGAGAAGTGCAACATAATCAACAAGTGATTATGTTGCACATTCACCAACCCAATAGTACTTTACCGTTATACCTCCCGATTTTTTTTTTTGTTTATTCCGGGAGCTTTTAGGTTCCTGAGTAACTGTAGTCTTGTCGAGATCGGGCCATCGGGCTTAAAGCAGTGAAGCAACTGATCGTCGGCACCACTTGGATTGATTCCAACTTCACATCTTTTGAAGGATCGACGAATGACTTCCGAAATTGAACCCCAAGCATCAGCAACCCATTTTAAGTAGATGTTCCAGGAGCTTCCAGTAGATGTTCATTCCAGTAGATGTTTTTTAAGTAGATGTTCATTCCAGGAGCTTTTAGGTTCCCACCTTTTGTGCGTTCAGGTGCTTGCAGCAAAATTCAATCCTCGTAAAACTGTGCCGTAAAACTGGCGGATCAGTGCCTTAAAAGGATCATTCCAAGTCCCCATCTGCACATTGAACAAACTTTGTAGCCTCCAGGAACTGCAAATTTGGGGGGGGGGGGTCATTATGAGAGGGGGGCTACTATTAGAGGGAAGGGTTACCATTACAGCTTTTACGGTAATGCATAACTTGCCATTTTTGATGTTTGTACTTTTAATGGTTGCACTTTTAATGTTTGTACTTATAATGTTTGTACTTTTAGCTTTTAATCTTTTACACTTTTAGATTAGATCTTCTCATACAGTCATGGACAAAAGTCTTTTAACGTTGGTTTTTAGAAGTTTGTTCTTTGTATATCTAGGTCCAAATCCGACCAATTTGCAAACGGTTAAAAGATTTAAAGAGCTTATTATCTCTAATTTTAACATTACAAAAAGATCGATTTAACAATTTATCAGGTGTCATGAACTTTTTAATAAAACAAAAATTGAGCCAAAAATTGATGGACAAAAGTCTTTTAAAATGTGAGAAAAACATTATGAAAATCAATACTTAGTAGGTCCTCCGCGAGCCGCAATTACTGCTTGAATTCTCCATGTTCAATCTTGAATTCTCCTTGGCATGCTGTCAAAAGATTTTCTGATTTCTAGGAGCAATGTTCAATCTTCATGTCCAGTGTTTTCATGCCCATCATCATGAGCATTTACTCGTCCCTTTCACCTCTCGTTTACGTGCTTTTGGCTGTGGCCGCTTTAGGGTGGAACGGTGTGTGTTTGTGGGGTGAAAGGGTGGAGGTGAGGGGGATGGAGGGGGATGTTTGCGCAGCACTGTGTACCGTCTTCCCTTCTTCGATCTCAACCCTTGCATTCTCATCTCTTTCTTCTTTTTCCCTTCATCCACTCGTTCCCTTCCTCATCTCATCGCAAACCCCCTTTTTATGCCCCTTTCTTCTATACAAAACCCACTTACTCATCGAGGCCGATCTATAACAAATTTGAGCAATTTATCATGATGAGTACAGGTTAAATCCTTTTGAATGCCATTTTTATGCAAATTTCAGGGAGATGTCGGCCGAATAACTTCCAAGATAGTCTCAAAATTGCTAAGCTCTTCACGTTGATATGCAATATTTTCACAATGGTTGGTGGATCGAAGGCCTTTTTGACAAACTTCAATTCCAGAATTCATTCACAGCTATTTCATTGTTTAGTTAGCTTCGATTGGACTTATCGGTTTTGCCATTCGTTCTCTCGTCGAATTCGGCTTTTCCTCGTCAATCACCGGCACAAATATCCTTTCATATGGCGGCGGAATTGGTCTTCTCGTTGGAATCACCGTTTTCACGTTGACTCCTTTGGGATTTTATGCAACAATTACTCACGAGGCTACTTTAATGCAAATTGTGAGTTGCTTTTTGACTTTAAAACTTTAAAACTTCAAAACTTCAAATCAAAACTTCAAAACTTCAAATCAAAATTTCAATTTTAAATCAAAACTTCAATTTCAAATCAAAATTTCAATTTCAAATCTAATTAAAACCGTTTCAGCACATGATCTTTGTCTTTGCCCTAGCAGGATTCAGTATAGCTACAGCTGGCCTTGGATATATCTTGAGAAATGAGGTTAGTTATATTCTAAAGATTGTTTTATAAAGATTCATTTTAAAGATAGTCTCCGGTGAAATTCAAGGATGGATGAAGATAAGCTTACAAAATGAGTATGGAAATCCACAAGGAGATGAAGTGACAGAGGCATGGAATCGACTACAATCACAGGTATGAACTTGAGCCAATAATGATGTTGTTGTTGATGTCGGTGTTGATGAGCGTTGATGTTGATGAGCGATAACAGTGGAAATCGACTGGAATCATAATCTGGAATCTGGAATAATCTGCCAATAAATCTCACCATTTAACTGCACTTTAATTTTCTAAACTCAATACTTTCAGTTGGGTTGTTGTGGCTTCTCCGAGGCTGGACCTCAAGATTATCGCTCATCAACATGGCTATTGGCTCAAGTTGAATACCCACGTCGCTTGGTGCCGGAGTCTTGTTGTCCGACTTGTGGATCAATTCATTCCAAGTAGGTAACTATTAGATCAGTCATTAGATCAGCCATTAGATCAGCTATTAGATAACTATTAGATCAGACATTAGATCAGCTATTAGATCAGTCATTAGATCAGCTATTAGATAACTATTAGATCAGTCATTAGATCAGTCAATAGATCAGTCAATAGATCAGTCATTAGATCAGTCTTTAGATCAGCCAATAAGCTAAGCCTCTTTTTTATTTATATTTTGCAAAAGCCAAACCAAAGCTGAATCTTTCTGAAATTTTACTATGCTAATTATCAAAGAGATAAACATTATTATACAAAGTTTTAACTCAATCTGATGGCTCTCTTCAATCAAATGGACTTTGGAGACTTTAGAAATTGTGGTAGAAAGAAGATGACATTTCCACATTTCCACATCTTTCCACTATAACTTAAAACCCAAGGATCAGATTGGAATGAAAATTTATAAGATACTAGGCAAAAATTTATCCTAAATCCACCCAAAAACTTTAGGATATTTTATCGGTCACTTTGAGAGAAATAAGTAATCAGCAATTTCGGTAGTCTAGATAGCTGGATTAGTCGGTATTTAGTCTAGTTTAGGGTTATCAGTCTAGATTAAGGTATTCAGTTAAGATTAGCTGGATTACGGTATTCAGTCTAGGTTAGGGTATTCAGTCTAGTTCAAGGTATTCAGTTAAGATTAGCCGGATCACGGTATTTACTCTCGATGAGGGTATTCAGTTAAGATTGGGATATTCAGTCTAGATTAGCTGGATTACGGTATTTAGTCCAGTTTAGGGTTATCAGTCTAGTTCAAGCTATTCAGTTAAGATTAGCTGGATTACGGTATTCAGTCTAGATTAGGGTATTCAGTCTAGTTCAAGGTATTCAGTCTAGATTAAGCAATTTTTTGTTGTACGGGATTTTGAAGAGATTAAAATCAAGTTATTACTCTTCTAAAGATTCCTCCTCAAATCCCAGCCAGTGGAAAGATGTGGAAATGTAATCTTCTTTCTACCACAATTTCTAAAGTCTCCAAAGTCCATCAGATTGAAGAGAGCCATCAGATTGAGTTAAAGCTTTGTATAATAATGTGAATCTCTTTGATAATTATCATAATAAAATCTCAGAAAGATCTATGATTTGGCTTTTGCTTTTAAATAAACGAGAGACTCATTACTTATTGACTCACTTAATATACAAAAACAATAATTCTAGCTTCTGTTATCAATTCCTCCTTGATGGCCCATTGCCGGTGAACACAACAGCGATGGAACAAGTATGCATACATGGTATGTTTTCCGGGTACTTCAGTTTGTCACTTGAATATTGTTAGGTGAAAAAAATATTTGCCTTTATTTTAGCGGCAGAAAAATGCAACCAAGCCTCCGAAATTTTTCCTGAAATCGATGTGTGTACTGGGAGGAAAATCATGCCCGGAATGTACCCAATTGAGGCTTTTCGCCATCAGGATGTGAGTTGTTTGAAGTCGGAATAAGTTCAAGGATTGAACAGTGCTGCATAACTGATCAGAATTTAGAATCTACATTTTTAACTACAATTTAGGACCAAACAATTTTCAGGGTTGTTATGCGAAACTTGAGGTCGAACTCCTCAATTACTCTAAACGTCTAACTCTTTTCGGCGCAATTTTTGCCATCTTTTTATTGATCAATTCTTTCTTCACTTTTCGATTAACCCAGAAAATGGCCGTTTCTCCTTATGTTTCAATTTATCGGCCACCTTTTTAAACGTTTATATTGGATTGGTGAATTGAAAACTGCGGGCTATTGTCATATGTGACAGTTTGAGCACTTTCTTCAAAAGAAACCCATATTGGTGTCAATGGAAAAGTTGTAAAGAATCAAAAATCAAGCTTATATCCTAATTTCCAAAAAGATGCACCTAGTAGTTTCGCTTAAAATTTGTGTGTTCTCGTGTGTTCTTTGTGAGGCCGCGTGATCACTCGTCGTCTGGCGCAGAGCTTTTACATAACCCCCTTCCCTCTGTCATCATCAAATCTCCTTCCCTTTGCTAAATAATCTGTCGGCTCCGTGGACATTGACTTCTCGACAAAACAAAGCTAATCTCAATCTATTGGGTTAGTGAATTGAAAACTGCCGGCTATTGTCATATGTGACAGTTTGAGCACTTTCTTCAAAAGAAACCCATTTTGGTGTCAATGGAGAAGTTGCAGAGAATCAAAAATAAAGCTTATATCCAAATTTTCAGAACGATTCAAAAACTGATTTTCAAGAAATGCCAAATTTACGAATTTTCACAAAACTTGCAACAAAACTTGCATTTTAAGCGAAACTACTAAGTGTATCTTTTTGGAAATTTGGATATAAGCTTGATTTTTGATTCTCTACAACTTTTCCATTAACGCCAAAATGGGTTTCTTTTGAAGAAAGTGCTCAAACTGGGAGTCCAGTCCTCCATTCTCAAAGTTCAGTCCTCCATTTTTGAGTCTCACAGTTGTCTCACACACAAACCAAAATCCTACTACGAAAGAGGAATCCGCAAATTGCCTGTAAAATGGGCAGAAGTCGTCAATAATAATGGAAATTATTTGGAATAAATTTATGGTTTTATGTTGAATAAATTTTAGTTCAAAATCCGGCAGTTTTCAATTGACCAACCCAATAATAACCATATTTCCCACCCTAAAATTCAAAACCAAAAAAACCCCCCCCACCCCCCCCCCCCCCCCCCCCCCCAAAAAAAAGAAGGGGGGGGGGGGAGGCAAAAAAAAAAAAAAACAAAAAACTTTTTTTTTTTTTTTTTTTTTTTTTTTTTTCCACCAACCCAATAATTTCCATTCTCACAAAATGATCTTCTCCATTGCTCACAAATCGCTTTATCAAAGAAACGGGTGAATAAATTATTGATTATTTATTGAATACTATTGGCACAGAAATACTCGTACGCTCATTGAGAATACAAAAAATTTACTGAGATTTTGTCTTTTCCGTTTTCTTCTGATCTCCATTGTTGTTTGAGTCTCGTTTTGGGGTTTCTGTCTTTTGTTGGGTTTTAGTCAAAGCTGATGAGGGTTGGCGCGAGAATGAGCGCTTCAAAAGCCTAAAATTTGTTAGAACTTTTCGACTTAGCAATATCAAAATTCACTTACCACATCGTAAAAGCGAATGGCAGATACAAAACTAAAAGAAGCAATCCGATCACATCCAAACACAAGAATTTCATGAGTTGAATCATTGGATGAACTGGGGGTGATCTCAATGGGTTTCCCTGATTGTTGGCAATGAACTCAATCCAGTGCAATGCTTCTTGGAAAGGAGAGCTTTTTCTCGACTTGAACTCTTTTGACATCTCCTTGGCTTTGTTTTTGAATCTGAAAGTTTTCGATTTGGTGAAGGATTACTTGGATTTTAAGGATTACTTGGGTGCTTGAAGGACATTGTTGATTGCTTGGGAGAGAGCCGATTCACTGATCTCCGACTTTTCCACCATCAATCCAAGTCCCTGGACTTTTTCGATTATACATATTTCAAATTCAATTCCCAACCTTATTCACAACTTTCTGCAAATTGTTCCTATTGACGCCGTAGAGCGGGACTCCAACCATCGGCACTCCATGGGCTACAGCTTCCATAATAGACAACATTCCACCGTTTGTGATCAAAAGCTTGCAACTCGAGTGAGCTAAATATGTGTTCTTGTTCTTGAGTTCTTTTCAAGTTCTTTCTTTTCAACTTCTTTCTTTCCAGGTTCTTTCTTTTCAACTTCTTTCTTTTCAACTTCTTTCTTTTCAACTTTTGTCCTTACCAAGCAAATCATTTTGTGGAATGTAGGCAGTGAAATTGATGTGAGCTGGTGGTTTCTCCACATTGATTCCATCCAATTTGATCGTTGGCCCAACTCTCCAATAGATTCGATACTTGGTCAACTTGGAGAGTGCTCCATACAAGGCTTTTACCTAAAATTTCTTGATTTTTGAAATGCAAACAAATCTTTGAAACAAACCATGTATTGTGGCATGTGAGCTGAGTTTGCTTGAGTGCCCATTGTGACCACAATCATCCCCTTTTCCGCTAATTCGATTGACGTGTTCCATGGCTGAAACCAGCTACAGTTTGTTGGACTACCTACCCGGAAAAGTCGATCCACTTAAATGGTCTATAGCTCGAGGTACAGACGCTGAATCAACTTATGGTTAGTTTCATTAGAATCTTCATTGAATTTGGCTATAGAAAAGTCAAATTTGTCTTGTAGAGTTACCGATAAAAACATGGAGAAAATTTGAGTCAAAGTTGACCTTCCAGATAAGAGTCTTAGTGTTCGGAGACCCTTCCAAATTCCGCGGTGAGTCTCGGAGTTTGGGGACTTTTCTATTTTACTCTATAACTCGACTTCCAATTGTCAGATCGACTTTAGATTGGTTTTAAAATGATCCTTATGAAATTTGGTTAAAGAAAACCACAATTTATTTAGTACACTCTAGTGTAAGAACACAAAGAAAATTTGAGTCAAAGTTGAACTATCTACCCGAAAAAGTTGATCTAGTTAGATAGTTTCAGACTCTTGATATAGAAGCTCAATCAACTTAGGGTTGGTTTTATTAGAATCTCCATTAAATTTGGTTATAGAAAAGTAGAATTTGTCTTCTAGAGTTACCGATAAAAACATGGAGAAAATTTGAGTCAAAGTTGACCTTCCAGATAGAAGTCTCGAAGTTTGGGGACTTTTCTATTTTACTCTATAACTCGACTTTCAATTGTCAGATTTGCTTTTTGCAATTCAGCGATTAGACATCCATTACCCCCTTCAAATGCCTTTTATACCAAAGTGCTAACTCACAATGGACTACACAAAAAAAGCCTCAACTTAATGGCAATCCCTTTTTTTCTGGAGTAACCAAGACTCACCGCAAACAATGGTTTAACATGATCGATATGCATTCCTCCAATTGGGATGACATGTGATGGAAGTGGCCGATCATATTCAATCAAACGATCCGTGTTCACAAAGAATAATGAAGAACGAGATTTGGCCTCATTCACATCGGGGAATGATTTGAATCTAAACCAAAATAAGCCTTAACACAGCAACACCATACCTCTTTTTCAACTCGTAATCCTCTGCAAACATCTTCGTGATTTGCAAGTCAAGATTTTTGTACCTGAACACAAAGAATCTCTTTACTAGTAAACTAAAAACCTTCTTGAGACAAGAGAAGCCAAAAATGGGACTCTCGATTGAGCCAAATATTCGCGTAAATAACAGAGGCCATTGATGAATCGGTTAATTGATTGGAAAGAGGTCTGAATTTGAATTGTTTTAACTTTAGGCACATTTTAGTCAACTTTAGGCACATTTTAGGCAACTTTAAACACATTTTATGCAACAATTATAAAGATAGCATTTCATTGTACACGGTAGTCGAAAATTATGACAACTTCTTTTTAGAAAAGTAGCTGGAAAAAGCATAACTTATTTCAAAAGTGTCAAGTGTTATATAAAATATTGAAACCCTTACCCTTGGCTTCATTTATCTACTAAAAACTCCACAATTGAAGTTATGCAGCTCGAGAAGCGCTTCGGAGACTTTTCTGAGGTATTACTTACTTGCGGAAGTGAGCAATGAGAGCTGGGAAAGTCAAGGCTTGGGGGGACTCCAGCAGCCACCAATGTCTCATCCGTCAACCCTGAATTGGTAAAATGCAAGGAAATCTAAGGAGCTAATGCAATTTCACTTCTAAACTTTCAAATCAAGCCTTCATTACCTTCTTGATCGAAGTAAATGACCGGCTTTCCGAGCACATGAGCAATAGCCAATTGACAGGGATTTCCAGAATAAGTGATGATCAAATCAAGCTCATCCTTTTTCAGTTGATCCATCAAGTTTGAGTTCAGCATCTAAATCCGTGATTAGAGAAATGGATACTTGAAAAACCTTGTAACAAGAAGCGTTGTGAGCTTCCCAATACGGATAATCGTAGCTCTCGATTTCGTATGTTGAGCTCCAAGGAACTTCGTTTCCAATCTTTTCCAGTGGTTCATATTGTTTTCTAAAAGTTTCTTTGTACAATCAATTTAGTAATTTTTACTTTGGTAGCAAGTTTTTCAGTGTTTTCTCCCGAACGAGATGCAATTTTGGTTTGACAAGTCGAGGTTCTTCAGGGATAAGAATTGGCTTCACTGTGATCACCTGAAGAGATTGAAAAATACTTGAAAAAAGCTTTTCCTGTTAGCTGTTTACTTAGATTTTGATCCTAATCTCAATCCTTTCTCCTTTCCTTTCATTCCACTCACATCATGATGTCGAAGAGCGAGTTGTTGTGCGAGATACTCGAAAGTTCCCCTTTCAAATTGATTCGTTCCAATCAAAAAGAGCAAGATATTCAGTGAAGTGACTGTTTGCAGAAGAACAGCTAATAAGCCTATTTTTATTAGCATCACTTCTAAATTATTTGTTTCAACATTTATCAGAAATGGAAGGTTGTGAGGAACGAGTAACAAAGCTAATTTGAGGAGAGATGAAAAAATGGGATGGGGAAATGGGATTTCATGAGAATGATGACTTATTAGCGAGAAGAGTGAGAAGAGAAAGTCTTTTTTTGAACAAGAATGTCAACATTTTCACAAAGACAACATTCACAAAGACAGTCAGCAAGTGACTGCTTGCAGAAGAACATTTTCAGCAACAGGAAGCTTATCTCAAGTTCACCAAGATTCGGTGGATATTTTACATCAAAACTTTAAGCAATAGATGAAGAACGTTGCTGATTTCGATAAGGAAATGTTGCTTTAAGAAGACGATCGTTGAATGAGAGAGTTTATAAGAAAGGGGAAAGACTGTCGGGGGAAAGGGGAAAGACCCAACGAGAGGAGAGGTGACCCTTCCTTTCTCCTCTCCATTTCCTTTACCTTCGTCCACCCGGTACCCGGCACAAGTCTATTTGTACTGTCTAAGAGGACCAAATGAAGGAAAAGATCAACTTGCCCTAGAGGCAAATCTTTTTAATCTTAGGGTTAAATGATTTCTGGGAAATTTTCAATCTCAAAATCAACTTTGTTCTTGTGATCTCGAGTACAGCTCTCCTTTCTTGCACAATATTGTTGCATTTAATGCATCTTTTTTGGCTTTAATCGAAGCTTTAATCTAAAAAAAAATGAATCTAAGCTGTAAAACAACAATTAATCATAAAATCTTAAAACTTAAGTTTCATATAAGAATTTAAACGTGATTGCTGCAAAAAAATGAAATCCGTCAAAAATGAGCAGATTTGTTAGTGAAGTTAGTCGATTTGTTAGTGAAAATAAACTTGCATTTGCAATAATAAATAATATCATAATAAATAATATGCTATAATAATATATCCCGGGGTTACCGGTGATTTATTTTCCACACACATAATCACAATTTACACATTAAGACCTAGGGAATATTCTATCGTTTGTGAGGATGGGACGATGTAGGAGACGATTTAGGAGACGTTGTAGGAGACGTTGTAGGAGGAGAATGCTACCCGCTTTGTATGAGCTTGCGCCTTAGACAAATTTACCCATTTGGATTCCTGGTTATCCCAATCTCGATCTCTAAAAATTGTCTCTTTCCGTCTTTTTCTGCATTAATATGTTTTTAGAGTTAATTACAATAAAAGTAGTGCTTTTTGAGCTCCATTATTGGACTACGGCCTCGCCACGTTGAAACGCGATATCCCGTCAGATCTGCCAAGTTATAAGCAAGTTAAGCAACGTTGGACTCGGTTAGTCTCTGGTTCGAATCCAGCAGATGAGTCAGGGGTATCCTCCCCGAACCGAATGCTGGTAACCGAACAGTAGGTAACTGCACCCATATGGTGAACTGGTTCCCAAGACCATTTACCCTAGGCCCCTTCTCCTCGAGATTGGGATAACCAGGAATCCAAATGGGTAAATTTGTCTAAGGCGCAAGCTCATACAAAGCGGGTAGCATTCTCCTCCTACATCGTCTCCTACAACGTCTCCTAAATCGTCTCCTACATCGTCCCATCCTCACAAACGATAGAATATTCCCTAGGTCTTAATGTGTAAATTGTGATTATGTGTGTGGAAAATAAATCACCGGTAACCCCGGGATATATTATTATAGCATATTATTTATTATGATATTATTTATTATTACAAATGCAAGTTTATTTTCACTAACAAATCGACTAACTTCACTAACAAATCTGCTCATTTTTGACAGATTTCATTTTTTTGCAGCAATCACGTTTAAATTCTTATATGAAACAAGCTTTAAATTCTTACAAAAACGCATAAATCTAGTGAAGAAAGGTTCGTAGATTTGAAATATTTAAACAAAAAAACTATCAACTCTTTTGATTTTTGAGAAAATCATTATTTTGTAGAATGCAACATTACAGGGTGTCCCAAAAGTTCTTCTACTTTTTATAAAAGAACAGTTTGACTCGGAAAAGACGGTATTTTTAAAAAACTAATGCCGGATTAAGAAAATTTAGATATTTCTACCCTTCATATACTTTTTTTGCACAACTCTAAACAACTTTTTTTGACGTTACAGCGCTTTTTTTGCTTTTGAGATTTGGGTGCTCTTCTAGATAGAAGTCTCGAAGTTTAAAGACTCTTCCAAATTCCGTGGTGAGTCTCGAAGTTTGGGAACTTTTCTATTTTACTCTATAACTCGACTTCCAATTGTCAGATCGGGTTTAGATTCGTTTTAAAATGATCCTTATGAAATTTGGTTAAAGAAAGCCACAATTTATTTAGTACACTCTAGTGTAAGAACATAAAGAAAATTTGAGTCAAAGTTGAACTATCTACCCGAAAAAGTTGATCTAGTTAGATAGTTTCAGACTCTTGATATAGAAGATCAATCAACTTTGGGTTAGTTTTATTAGAATCTCCATTAAATTTGGTGATATAAAAGTAGCATTTGTCTTGTAGAGTTACCGATAAAAACGTGGAGAAAATTTGAGTCAAAGTTGACCTTCCAGATAGAAGTCACTAGGGGGTGTCCCAAAAGTTCTTCTACTTTTTATAAAAGAGCAGTTTGACCCGGAAAAGACGGTATTTTTAAAAAAATAATGCCGGATTAAGAAAATTGAGATATTTCTACCCTTAATATACTTTTTTTGCACAACTCTAAACAATTTTCTGATGAGGATATCGTTACAGCCCTTTTTTTGCTTTTGAGATTTGGGTGCTCTTCGTAGAATCGCTTGAAAATCTTTCGTTTTTGAGGTACAAAGTTCTTTTATAGCCCTTGTTTCAAGAAAAAACGTAGATCTATCAAATGGTAATAACAGTTTTTGGAAAAAATCTCATTCTACAAAGTTTAAGACAACTTTCGCTAAAATCTTCAGCGATCAGAGCCAGATGTAAAAGATCCTAGTCAAAAAGTTGTTTAGAGTCGGAATCTTTTTATGAAAATGGGCATATTAGGATAAAAATATCTGTATTTTTAGAATCCGGCGTTAGTTTTCCGAAATTCGCGTGTTTTTCAAGTCAAAAAGTGGCTTTTGGGACACTTTGTATATGCTGCATTCTGTACTTCTTTCTTGCACAATTAACTGCTAAGTAAATAAACAAAACAAGACATTTATTCTGAAAAAAAACAGCAAAATAGAAGTAGCAGTGTCTGTATGGAAAATGAAAGCATCAAAATGAAAGCAAGTGAATGAAAAGTCGAGAGAAATCGAATCCTATTGAGAATCAATATCAATTATATCGGAATCTTCGACCTGCACCACAAAGCTTCCATCGACATCGCTTCGCCATTTTACGATCTACTAAAGAAAGTTTATTCAAATTTGATCTCTAAAGTATATCAATTTCTAAAGCTTTATAAGCTAAGCTTTTTGCTTCTAAAGCTTCTAAAGCTAAGCTTTTTGCTTCTAAAGCTTCTAAAGCTAAGCTTTTTGCTTCTAAAGCTAAGCTTTTCGCTTCTAAAGCTTCTAAAGACAAGCTTTTCGCTTCTAAAGCTAAGCTTTTTGCTTCTAAAGCTTCTAAAGCTAAGCTTTTTGCCCGAACTCTTCGAATTTCTTCTACAAAACTCACTAGGGTCGACAATTTGAACTGATCCATCTTTTAACAATATCCTTTGCAACAAATTTGTGTCAACGAAAATCACTTCTTCAGACGGATCCAATCGATCCTGAAAAACTTATTTTAAAGCCATAAAACACTTAGAAATTAGAAATTATTTGTCTGTTTTCAACTTAAACACATCATTTTTATAAGAAGCCAGGTGAAAAAGCGAAATTTTTCTCAAAATCTCAAATTGTACTCGGTAATCTTTGTTGAGATCAGAAAAGAAATAGAAATAGAAATGTTTAAAGTGGTTAGACACCTTTTAAAAGAGTCTAGACGTTTGAAACTCTTGTTTGAAATTCTTTTTTGGTTCAAATTACTTTACCTGTGCACTCGTGAATTGTGCCAAAAAGAGAGCGGCCAGGAAGGCACGCCACATTACAGTTAACCCTGGAAATGATTGATCTTCTTTGGACATTTGTATTTGATTCAAAGACATTTGTTTATAAAGCTTTTGAGAAAAGTAAATAGAATGGATTGAATGGAAGATCTTTTGAAGTTAAAATTTGAGACAGAAAACAACTTGAAGCTCTGAAGCACAGATTGTAGTGGAATGAAGAACTCAAATCATAAAGTATTGCCATAAAAAGTTCCTCAAGAAGTATCCTCACCAAAAAGTTCTTCTCAAAAACATGTTTGTATCATGAACACAGAAAAAAGTGATGATTTGAGGATTAAGATTTTCGGGTTTCGGATAATTGGATAAAGATAATTGGTTGGGAAGATTTGATAGGCCATCAAAAGTCCATCAACAAAGAAACCATTGAATGGCTCTTTTTGAGAGGAATAAACACGAATCACTGGATAATTTGTGGCCAAAGTTTCCACCCACGCAACATAATTAAAAAGAAATCGAAGACAATGTTTCTTTGAGTAAAACTTTTTTAAAGTTAGGAGTTTTTATGCTGCGCTTTGTTATGCTTTATTTATTTGAAGCTATTTTTGCTTTAGTTATTTGTATTAAGCTTTGCTTATCTGTCTTAGGCTGTCCAGAAAGAGAGAGAGAGTAAATGCAGACCTAAGCCTAAGCCTAAGCCTAAGCCTAAGCCTAAGCCTAAGCCTAAGCCTAAGTCCAAGCCTAAGCCTAAGCCTAAGCCTGAGCCTGAGCCTAAGCCTAAGCCAAAGCCTAAGCCTAAGTCCAAGCCTAAGCCTAAGCCTAAGGCTAAGCCTAAGCCTAAGCCTAACAAATTCATCAATTAACCTATGATTAATTGTTGATGCTTATTTATCTAAATAAAAAGTTTTTATTGCTCAATTCCCATCTTTTTAAGTCAATCTTTGTCTTCACTTTCAAGCAAATTCGAGAGTGAAATTGGTCTTTTGGCCTTTCTAATTGGCCTTTCTAATGAAATAAATCGTAGTTCAATGCCTATCTGCTGTCCAGTGCAAACCTTGTGCAAACCAGTGAACCTATCATCGCCTATCATCGTCTCATTGACATTGTCAACAATTGCTCTCGCCTCAATTGATGAGGCGATGGGAAATCGACGATGATAGGTTCACTGGTTTGCACAAGATGCAGCGTCTAATTTTAAGTTCGTAGTTCAATGCCTTTGTTGGTTTGAAATGGAAGTACAAAACAAAACGAACGAATCAACGAAAGGAAGGAAAAGATTTCTAGGCAAAAGACAAGAAAGGTAGCGTTCAATTAAAAGTTTTTGTCAAGAATTCGCGTATCTTGAGCCTGAATGAAAGCCTGAATGAAAAGAACTTGTTGAAAAGAAAAGAACAATTCCTGGAAATTTGCCATAACCAGGTTATGCTTAACTGCTTAACTTAATTATGCTTAACTTCTGTTTGTAAAACTTTCAAAGCGTTAGCACTGGCAGATCCTAAACCAGTCAACTCCAAGAAAACATTCATTGCCGCAAATCTTTCCAAACATATGAATATGAGCAATGTTAGGTCCTGTGATCCTGATGGGCTAGGTTTTTTTGGGAAGGAGGTAGGACAGGATAGGCGAATTGAGCCAATTCGATTCTTTCATAAAGACAAGAAAGAAAATGGGAAGAGCTCCGTTCATTTTCTCTCATCTTTTTCTTAAAGGGTAAAGCTTTCAGAAAAATTCTTATTTTTCAGAGAAAACATATCTCTCGATCTGCCAATTAAGGTGTTAAGTTCTTGCTCGAAAGACGTCATCGAGGGTTGCAAGGGTTGAAGATGGGCTTACGGAAGAAAACAAAGTTTTGCTAGCGCAATTGGCTCAAAGGTACAAGACAAAGACAAAGCAAA